CACTGATGTACAGACAACTATCACTGGATTACTTTAATACTAAAGAAAACTTAAAAATGTGATGATTCTCAGGCAAGTTCTGCAGTTATGAGGAACGTCTCTCTTCGTATGATTTATAAGTCCATTCACGGATGTTTATTTGTGATGGACACTGGATAATGATATCCAGTTTTTAGTAGCATAAAGTAGCTTATTTGCCTTTCACCTCACACAACTGGATTCTGAGCTAGAAAAAAAAAGTATTTTCTGAGTGTTGTTTGAGGGTTGCAGTTAGCAAACAGTCTGTGTAGCCTTAGGTCCTGCATATATATAGCACACAGCCTCAATACTGATGACCCAAATCACACACACACCACAGATACATCATACACTAGAGGCTGTGGCCGGATTTTAATCTGGGTCTTTAGAACAATGAAGCAAAGTAATGGTGTGTGTCTTTGTGTGTGTTATTGTAATGACTTTGCTGTATATGGGTAATATTGCATGCATTAGTTTTGATGTCTCTTTGTGTGTGTGTAGGCACCCGATTAGCTGCAGCGTGTTCCTTATCATTAACACCTTGTTCACACCTGAATAGTCTATTATGTTACAATACTCCTGGGGCCTCATTTAAAAACATCGTGTTTGCACAAAAAAAGGGTTTTTAAAACCTTCTTTTCACAGGAAAAAAAAGGTTTTTCGTAGAATCAAACTTGACAGAAAAATGCGCACACTTCAGTGGAAACTCTGATTATGCATGCAAACATGTGGGAGACTTTGAAAATTGATTGTAGTAGCATAATAAATCCACAGTGGTCTAATAACCCTCCTCACACAGTTTATTTCAGTTTTTTAAAAGCACAACCAGAGCTAAAAGCTTTTCTTTTCTTCTTGTTTGTTTCCAAAACCTGGATTTGAGAAGACAAGTTTCGGTGTGAGGTGTCTAAATTGGTGCACTCAGAACACAATGGCCTATTTACCCTGTTCTCTAATGCAGTTTCATTCATCCATCCACTGGAGCTGTGTCCTCTTTCCTCTGTGGAAATATATTATAGTTGAATCTCCACTCTAAAGAAGCCAGGCTTCATGGGCAGTTTTCTCCAGTGTCCCCTCAACATACCTGTACTGGTTTGGATTTCTGAGCTACAGTGTTTATTCAAAATTTTCCCTTATTTTTCAGCTCATCCTCGACCTTGGATGCTTCTCTTTTTGGTCACACCAGAGCGATGACCTCTGAAATACAGGCGGGTCTGAAACTCTGCAGTCGTCTGAAGAGTTTCACACTTTGCTTTAATGGCTTGAATTTCTTTTTTTCTTCAAATTATTGAAGGACAATAATGGACATTAATCTTGTTGAGTAACTGTAGCAGTTAATGGGGTTATAAATTAGGACTGTGCATGTGTGCGGTTTCAGATTTATAGAGATAGAGAACTGCATGTAGGTGAGCATAAATCTGATTATTTTTGTAGGATTTGTTTTCATCATCAAGCACAGTTTATGAATGAGGTAGCAGAGGCACATTTATTCCCCTGGAAGTCAATTTTGTGACAACACACTGAAGCAACACCCTATTATGGCTCCACTGGCAGTATCATGAAAAATTCCAAATCCAAACTTTGCATTGTCTGAAAGTCCATCGTCTTGACTTTTTAAAGTTAACTACTAAAAACACTTATTATTATTTAAGTGATTTTTCAAGCAGAAAAGCCGAATATTCACATCATGGTTTCTCTGTTTAACATGATTGTAAATTGAATATCTTGGTGTCATAGCACAGTAAGTTCAGGGACAATTATTTGGTTTTAGGTTTATCACTATAAAGAGAGTTACTAACAAGCCTCAACTAATACTGAATGCATTGGTTCAAGAAGAAGGACAAAAAAAACAAAAACAAAACAAATGGATGCAGATGGAAACTAAACCAAAATACTTCAGGGACAAGAGGTTGATCATCCATGAGTTAAGACCCGCCTTCTTGACATTTGGCAGCCAATCAATGACACTAAGCAATTTAAAGATGCCACTTAGGGCTCTTTTTCCATTTTCTGACATTTAACAGACAAAACAAATTGTTAATTCATCAAAAACATTGTTGAAACCCTACATAACACTAAAGTATAGGCTATATGAGAACCACATCACAATCTTCATTAAACATACTCTGTCCATGATAACGGCTTATATTATAGCAAAAACAATGCAAACAAACAAATTTAAAGTGAAAGGAACATTTTATTTTTCTCTAATTTAAGTCAACTGTCACTTTACTCCATTTTTAGTTTGTCATACTGCAAATGCGACTCTGATTAATAACGCTCCTCCAACATCAAAAGATTCACTCATGAATGAGTCGTAAAACTACTTCCTATAAAGCGTGTGTGCCTGTGTACGCGCACACGCATTATCTGTCTCTCTAACAATGCTCCTGTCCGTCTCCTCTGTACATTATCTAATGCAGCAGAAACATTTCAAGACATACTGGTGTGTTATCTGTTTCTCCCAGGTCTCCCTTTGCTGCAGTGGCAGACTACTCAGTAACCCGAAATAATGTCATTCAGCTCTGCCTGGAGCTCACCACCATTGTACAGCAGGTGTGTGGAATTATTTGTGTGTGTGTGTGTGTTTTGAAGGCTGATAGCTCGTATTCTGCCATGGTTGTCATATCCCCCTAAGAAACGGTGTGTGTGGGTGTGATGCAGCAGCCTCAGACTCTGCTCTCTGCATCCTTGAGCGAGACTCGATTCTTTGCTATTTATGTCCTTACAGTCTGTCTTTTGTATGACTGATGTGTGTATAAATAAAAGATAAATGTGTCTGTTTGTGTGGGCGTATTTTCTGTCTGCAAGGGTATAGACTGTGCAGGTGTAGGGTTCAGTAATGTGAGGCCCAGACAGTATACAGAAGTAGCAGCGTGAGCACTGAGATGGTGTGTGTTTTTGAGTTTTTGCAAGACAGGATGTTCTGCTCGCGCTACATTAAATTCTGCTTTTCCCCCAGGACTGTACAGTGTTTGAGACGGAGAACAAAATCCTTCATGTGGTGAGTCCTGCTTCCTCGTCCAGCTGTCGCTTATTTGCTCTGTGTTGACGGGTAGCGTCCTGTCGTGTTTTTCTTTTTCTCACATCCCTTCATACCCACTCATACAATGGTCCACAAACACAGAAACTCAATTTTCAGCTAAATAATTGAATGAATCTCAACTGAATAACCTGTAGTATTATGGGGATATTTTGGGAAATCTGTTTTTGCTTTCTTTCCAAGAGTTAGATGAGAAGATTGATATCATTATGTTTTTTTTACCTTAGAATGAGCCATTCTTATCTACAGAGGTAGCAGGGTTGGCCATGTTGAATTGCCATGTTTCTACAGTAGCCTCGAATGGACAAACCAAACACTGGCTCTGGATAGGGGCTTTTGCGTTTTTTAAAGTTGCGATCTGCAACTACATTGTTAGATGCTACTAAATTTTACACATTGGTCCTTTAAAAAACACAACACTAACAGCAAGGCAGAGTAACTTCCCGAGTCGTCGACCTGAGCTTGATAGACAATCAATCAGCAAAAAGTTCCCAAAACCTAAAATGATTTTATGTACTGATTAAAAAAAAACATATACATAATGTGTTCATTTAGTTGTATTTTGGATATTTATATCTAAATAGCTATGCTAATTCTTCCCCCCCTCTTCCAGTCTTTATGCTAAGCTAGGCTAATTGCCTCATGGCTGGAGCTCCATACTTTATGCTGCATTCACAATACTGGCACAAAAGAAAGAAAAGGAAAACGTATAGCACTGCTGACCTAAATGATCTACTTTTATTGTTTCATGTATTTGGAGCAGTTTTGGCTGAATAGAGTGTATTAGCATAGACGTAACTACAGTACTAGTGACTGTGATTTTGCAGCCATTTTGCCAAAGGTTTGTTGACCCTGTATTACTGGGGCATGTCTGGTAGCTTGTAATTATGGTTTAAACAATATGAGGACACAGATGTGAGAGTGGTATTGATCTTAAAATAGTGCATGAAGAGTTAACACACGTAGATACAGTATGCATCTTTTATTGTTATTTTTTTAATCAATTGGTCACTTATCTGCTTGTTGCGAGGACAGAATATAATATTATTATGACTTATGTTTTCTTACTACTGTATATAGTACAGCTTTTTATTCATGTTGATTTGATGATGTGTATCAGCTGGTTGTTAATCATCGGTATGTTCTTGGCTACTGTTGAATAGGAGTCACACCCACAAATGTCTCAGAAACCTGGAGGAAAGCCTGGGGCTGAAACAAGGTCTTGCATACTTATTTGGAAGTGCTGACAACTTTATTTGCTACTTTGTGTTTTTTTGTTTTTTTTTTGGGGTCTGCACCCATCATCAAAATACATTTAGTTGACCCCACTTCTTTTTTTTGAGTATCAATCTTCTCATTGAACTCTTGGCAAGATGGAGAAACAGCTCATTTGGGTTGTGTTGGTTCAACTTACTTCTAGTAGATCTCTTTCCTGAGGTTCAGGGGGTCAGCTAAAGTTTAATTGTCCATTTTCACAGCAGACATTTGGACTTGTCAAACACAGGTGTTATTAATACATTCACTAATTACTACAGTAGTAGTAGTAGTACTGCAGTAATTGCTGGAACGGAGCCGTCATTAACTGTATTCGTTCCACCTGTGCTTTATCTGCTGTGACAAGTCGAAATGTCTGCTGTGAACAAGGTCTGAGTCTGAGTGCTTTTTCAGATTCACGTTAGGCTAAATGTATTTAGCATGAACTGTAAAGTGTGTAAAGACAGACAGACTTTATACAATCTGTGCTAGGCTCTAAAATTCACTGTCAATAGCAGATTTATGTATTTTGTTTCTTGATAAATTTCAGAAGCCACGGCTGTGGATTATCCAGAATATACACAGTTTTTACTCTGACTATTTCGTACTTGACAGCATGTTGTATGGAGTCTTCTGTTGTTTCTGCAAAAAATGTTGCTCTTAATCTTTTTTAGATGTCATTTTCCAATGCAATTGTGGATACCACAAATTAAATTAAATTCACCCTCATTATATTGTATTTTAGAAACAAATATCTGTAAACGGTGAACAAATAACACAAAATCTAGATAATACTTGAGGTAAGTGAGAAAATGTGTAATAATAAAAATAAGTGTAATTTAGGTGAACTGACCCTTTAAAGTGCTATAGGAAGCACCAGTAATAAGCCACAAAGCTGTGTTAACAGTGGCATCCTCTATCAACCGTTTGGAGAGAATATGTTTATTTTCTCAGTAAAGCCAAAGATAAAACCTCTAATAAAGAAACAAAAGCAGTGACATGAAGCAGGAAGGAAAATATGTTTGTTAGACACACAAGGTGTACACAATGTTTTCTTAATAAAACACCACGGCTTTTATTTTATAAAAGCTCTGTGTATTATT